CCAAATGAAATTATTTTGCAAAAACCTTTAAAGTGTGAAATGCTCCCTGTAATCAGTTACAGCCCCCCTTCCATTAAATTGCCATCTTTTTGAAAACTCTTGCAATGTGCCAGAATTGTTCTTATCAGATCTTGATCTGCAATTAATTCGAACATAAAAAGTTCACTGAGAAAAAGACAAATGGGACATGGAAAATACACAATGAACCCACTGTGTAATTGAACTTGTTTTCCCTCTTTCAGTTAATCAGTTCTGAATGGAAGAAGGCTTGTGTCTCTTTACAGAAAATGTAATGGTATTGTCCAAAGCTATATTTTTGACTTATTTTTATTGGCATAAAAAGTTGTCATGTGGCACCTTTTGATATAATTGCACAGCAGAATGAATTTGTTTATCCTCTTGTAAATTGCTTAGAGAGGGCTGCAAAGCACTGTAAAACGATATATAAGTTTAAATGCCATTGCTATGCTATATGGTTTAATTTTGATGTTCTTGCTTTTTTTTTTTCATTGGAAGATCCTGAGTTCCCAAAGGCAGCTACACCGCTGATTCAACTTTTCACAGATTTATTTATTCTTATTTGTTCTTTTTGAAGAAAACTGTTGAGAATAATGTTCCACATATTAGTGGATGTGATAGAAAGTATTCCCGCCTTCAGATTTTAGCTTGTTTACTGTCTTTCAGTTTTAACTGTAAGCTGCATTGATTTTTTTTTTCAAAAAAATCATCTCAGTAATAAGCTAATCTGATGTTATGTATGCAAAGGAGTAAGGCGATTAGGAAAATTGTTGCTTTCTTATCTTGGGAGATCATTATCAGAAGCTTATAGGAGGATAAAAAAACTGGGAACAATGTTTTCTTGAATGAGAGACATTAAGTCTCACTAGTATCACCATTTCCATTCAGCATAGCAGTTTCCAGGGCAACATTTATATACAACAGAATTTAAAAGGGGGAGGACAATCAAGCAAGTATGTGTGTGTAACACATTAAATCATTTCTTTTCATGATAAGCCAGATAAACTGTCTGTCAGTATTACCTTATTCTGCCCAATATTCTGGCAAGTTTAGGATCTCTACAAAATGGTCCTTCCAGTTGTCATCTGTAAATCTGACTTTTTGGATATGTAACTATGGGAGAAAACAGTAGGGGGCTTACCTTATTTGGGTCTTCAATTGGGGGGAGACTCTTAATTCTGCGTAGTAAGCAGAGGTGGTATTCAGCATGTTCTGACCAGTTCTGCAGAAACGGTAGTGGAAATTTTGAGTAATTCAGAGAACCAGCAAATACCACCTCTGATTGGAGATTTTACAGTATCCTTCCCCTGCTATGCCCACCAAGCCACGTCCACAGAACCAGTAGTAAAAAAAATTGAATCCCACCACTGATAGTAAGCATTTTTTTAAAACTGCTATTTCCTTAGTGCAGAGACAGACCTCCCTTTGCTGGCTGGAAATTGTGCTTAACGTCCTTGGTCAGGACTGGGGCTGAAATTCTACAATTTGCTATGTAAAGTACATGGGCACAGTGTGTGGGAAAGGATTTTTTTGCCTTCTGGTTTTTGGGGAATGGGAATTCTGGTGGCTCTCTTGTTAAAATGATTTAAAAACAGTTTTAGAACATTGATTTTATGATTTTCACCATAAAAAGATAGGGAGTCTTGACAATTGTGGGTGGAAGGGGCTTCTGGTTGCTCATTCCAATTTTAGTGTTGGGAGACCTAGTTGAGTCAGGATCCTAGATAGGTGTGCTGTTGCCTTCCTCTTTCTCTTATCTTTCAGGTGGTGCTTCTTCCTTGTCCACTGACAGTAAAGCAAATGAGGAGATGACTGCAAGGTATTCTTGTAAAGGAGATTTCTGGGATGTTTTACATAAAAATAAATAATGATCAAAACATATACACCCCTGGAATTTCACACATTCCTGAGGAATATTGATCCCTCTCTCTTGCCATTCCATACATTGATGAAAACAACTCTATTAAACTCTATAGTTTATTGTTTCATGGTGTCCCTCTTGGGTGGGTTGATTAATCTTATATGCTGCTTTTATGCATTTATTCAGTTGTTACACTATCCAGAATCTTTGGATTAGGCTGAGTTAAAAAAAACACTTTAAATAATGCATGAATGAATAAATGCATTGGTGATCATCTCCAGAGCTGCACACATATACATAAACACACAGAGATAATGCCTTGATTAATCACTACACAAAAATCAAAATAAGAAAGCAATCTAAATCCCATATAGGCAAAGTAAAACACACGCCAAGAGCATTCAAGTTAACCTGGGATTTTCTTTGTATATTCTTTTTGTTTTGTCTAATGGACTTAGTTTTTTTTCCCCTACGCGTAATGGATAACTGAGAGACTGACTTCACACAGTTCAGAATTGCAAGACTTTGAAAATGCCATGAAGGTGGGGGTGGGTGGGTGGAATTCAGTGGGCTGCTCATTCTTTCCTTAGTAAGATTCTGCAGCCCCACCAAGGTGTTCCTTTTGTTTCAATCAGGTGATGCTAGAGAACAAACAATACTCCTGAAGTTAACAAGCATTGAAAAAGAGCACCTCATTTTCTAGCCCAGTACCTTTGATGCTGCTTGTTCATGTAAGGATCTGCCTCCATTGTGATTTGACTGACACGACTCTTGCCTATAAATTTGAGCAATTAAGCAGGCTAGGTGGCAGCTGGTAAGGAGAGGTGCAGAGAGAAAAACCCTGCCAGAAGTTACTGACTTTTGCAAACAACCATCTTCAAGCATAAGTACGACAGTGCTGATCGTCAAGCTAGGTAAGAGATTTTGCTACCCTTTCCAGATGCAAGTCACTCCTTCAGCCTTTTTTTTTTTTTGAGACAAATAAGAGAAGACAAAGCGCAAGTCAAAATATTAATAAACCAAAATATTAATAACCATAAAATATGTTTTATTTAAAAATTATGTTTGTGAACCAATGACTCGGTTTCTAGATATAAGATGTGTACATATTGACAGAGAGCTGTGTGACATAGTAATTGAGGTGATGGATTAGATGTGGGGAGATCCAAGTGCTATCTCTCCCTCAGGCACAGAAGCCAGCTGGGGACCTTGGGCCAGTCAAATACAAATGAGAGTCAGGCTCTGTGACAAACGGACTTTTAAACAACACTCCCCATTGCTTCACTATTCGGAACTAGGGAAATGCTGTGCAGAAACAAATGGATCTTGCAACCAAATAGAACAAATGCTAAAGAATACCACTGCCACCAAAGAAGCTTAAAGATATTAAGGATCTAATTCTCATAGAAAGGGTAAAGACAGTTCAATATTGGTTTTGAATTATGTCACACTGAAACTCTTTGGAATGAGTAGAAACTGAAGAGATATAAAAATGGACTATTTTATATTTCCAATTTTTAAGATGAAAGAATTTCAAGAAACAGAAGTCCTGTAGGTGGTCTGAATATTATTTTCTGAAATCCTGCTTTTACACTGTCTCATTTAGGTTTCCTACTAGTCTTGTGATAATTTTTTTATTATGTTTTCCCTGGCTGCTGCTCATTCTATCTTTCTAAATTGATGGTTTCATTTCAGATGATAAACAAGTTGATGTCAGGTTGCTATAATCACATGTAAATCAGTAAGATGGATTGATCAATTGTGTGTCATCAAGTCATTTTTGACCTCATAGATAGAAAATATAGTCTGTAGGGGGCGTGCATAAGCGCACCAACGTACCTACCGTCCCTGTCCTATTGTTTCTCTTATTCTTCTTTTATTTTTCTTATATGTACCCATTTCATGTATTCACAACTATGTATACACTTATACTTATTATCTTGTAAACAATTGCCAAATAAATAAATAAATAAATAAATAAAATCCATAGTTTTACATAGATAGAAAATCCATAGATCTCCATGACAATCTACCCTTAACCTGTTCTTCGAGGAGTCTCAGGGATGCACATACACTGCGGTAACTAAGTCTGTCCATCTTACAATAGCAATAGCACTAAGAGTTATATACCACTTTATAATGCTTTACAGCCCTCTCTAAGAGATTTACAGAATCAGCATATTGCTTCCTACAACCTGGGTCCTCCTTTTACTGACCTTTGAAAGATGGAAGACTGAGTCAATCTTGAGCCAGTCATGATCAAACTCCGGGCAGTGGTCAGAGTCAGCATTCTAACCACTGTGCCACCACAGCTCTTGCTGTGCAGTACTTGGCATTATTTGTAATAAATAAAATAATAAATCAATTATATTGACTAATAAATGAGGTTGGTCCATGTAGCTAATTCATTATTTGTTTATTTTGAGCACTCTATACTCTTTAAATAATCCCTAAGGAAGTCTGAGATGGTTCTGTGTTTGATATCACTAAGCATAAGTGAGGGCAATAAAAGGTGATTAATTAAATAATATATATTTAAATAATGCTTGGCTCCAAATGATTCTAGGAGTTTTATGTCTTAAAAAGCCAGGACCATAAAAAGAAAAAGATAGGTGTTCAGAAAAATAAGAATCTAAGAAATAAAAATCTTATATGAACCTCAGTAGCACAGCGGTTAGAGTGCAGTACTGCAGGCTACTTCTGCTGACTGTCGGCTGTCTGCAATTTGGCAATTCAAATCCCACCAGGCTCAAGGTTGATTCATCCTTCCATCCTTCCAAGGTGGGTAAAATGATGACTCAAAAGTGTTGGCGGCAATACGCTGACTCTGTAAACTGCCTAGAGAGGGTTGTAAAACACTATGAAGCAGTATATATGTCTAAGTGCTATTGCCATTATTAAAAGCCCATTAAACTCTTTCCTCTCTCCCTCAGCTGTCTGCAAACAGAGCTGCAAAATCCATGCAGTTGTATGCACATCTGGTCATCTCACCAATAAATTCCCTACAGAGTCAGCAACAGGATGCAGTTTTTATTCAAAGACTATAATGTAATATCTGTGGGGGGAAAAAAATCCTACTTCAATTCTTCACCTCATCTTTTTTTTTTGCTGCTTCTCTTAGAGCATGAAATTCCAAAGGATGATCCAAACCATCTTATCTGTCTTGATTTTGGCCAGCTGCATCACTACGCTCAAGCCTTCCAACACAAACTTGCAGACATTCATTGGCTGTGCTGTGCGAGAATTCACTTTCCTGGCCAAGAAGCCTGGATGCAAGGGGCTGCGCATCACCACAGATGCCTGCTGGGGCCGCTGTGAGACATGGGAGGTGAGACCAGTGGCCCATGGCTCATAGTATGAATTTTGCTCTCTTGTCCAGGTTACTTGTGGTCATGGTTTAAAGGGCCGGGGGTACAGTTTAGTGGCAAAGGAGATGTTTTCAGTGAAGGAGATCCCAGGTCCAGCATTTCTATGTTAAAAGGAATAAGAAGATGCCTGTTTGAAATATACAGTAATCCATTCTATGCTGCCAGTACTGATGTGTAATAGGTCTCTAGCATTTCAGGTAGAGGTATTTACCTGTTCCCTGATCTATTCTGATAGTTAAATACATATTTTCCTGACCTGATATTAAGAAATGTACAAAGAGTTGGGGACCCCTGACCTAGATGATGACTACATTATGCAAATTAAGGAATATTTCCTAATTTTCCATTTTGCATAGTTTGTCCTGCTAATTATGTGAGAAAGTCAGGGTATTGAAAACCTGTTTGAAAGCCAGGATATTGAAAACCTTGCAACTTTCCCTTTCTGGTTTCTAAAAACTTCAGGCAGTATCTCACTTTCAGTAGACATTAACATAAACATTGGAAACATATTTGCTTTTAAAATGAAAGCCAGCATTCTTGGGAACCTAAGCTATGTGTTCAACATTACATATTCTCTTTGGTTCTTTTTGCACTTCCATGGAATTTTATCATGTGCATATTGGTATAAATACATGATTAAAGTCAAAAGATGAGACTGATATCTTCACCCCAATATTCTATAAATACATGGGTGCTGCTTAGAATAGAATAGAATAGAATAGAATAGAATAGAATAGAATAGAATA